ATATACATAGTACAGACATAGCAGCATCAGAATACCACTTGTTTGGGTTTCTGCAAAACTCTTTGAATGGAAAATCGTTCAATTCGCTGGAGGACTGCAAAAAGCACCTGAGTGGGTTTTTCGATTTTAAGTCTGAAACCTTCTATGGAAGAGGGGAACTGAAACCTACAGGAAGATAGTGAATCCTTACTGAACAGAATGGAGGATATATTGTTCGATCAATGGATCTCTTCTTCTAGGAATTTTCGTTCAAAGATTAATCAAAAATCGGCGGGAACTTTCCGGACAACCCAATACATGCTTAAATGAAAAATAAGTCCTTGAACGCTGCACTCCATAGTAGAAGAGTCATGAAACATTTGTAGGCAATCGGTATGAAAGCATTTATGACTATATAAAGACTATCCATGATGGCTGGATGCGTCTGACAGCTATTGTATCAGTGATCAAACCATCACAACTATGACATCACGATCGCAACACATTGGACACACATATAGGCTTTTCTTCAGTCTTTCTACTTTCACTCAGATTTTTGGCGAATTCACACTTATTTATAATTGTAAAACTACTGCTAGAGTGCGTGTTTTAAGAATGTATACCATTTTATCTCGTTTTTTGTTTAATTCAAAATTCCGACATGTAGTTGGTGTGATCATTTTTCAAAGATTTGTCTCCGATCCGTCTGACCCAGACAAATGAGCTAGAATGCTGTAGAAAACTGTTTATTTTATAGAAGCACCACTGAGTGGACATAGCCCGGGATTGAAATTGTACGAATGTGTTTTCTCCATAACTCGGTTGAGTGCAACGGTATTTCGTTATTGCATAGGTCTTTTGTCGCAGAATGCGACTTTTCTCGTATTCCCAGGCGAGTAGATGGTAGGTTTACATTCCTTTGTAGCTCCGATTCTCGTAGCCGCTTGTGAAACCTTAGTTTTCAAAACATAACTTCATTTGAGAAATTTATGTTTACAGAGAAATATTTCTCAGCATCAATAGTCACGTAACCTGACTGTATATAAGCCTCACGTAACGCAGATTCAGGGGTGGATTCAAGACGCAGATTCTCGACTCAATTCTCGGAGCAGATTCTCGACTCAGTTCACGACGCAGATTCTCGGCGCAACTCTCGACGTATATTCTGGACGCAGTTCTCGACGGCCTATAGCCATCGCCTTGTGGCTTCCACTCCTACTCGTGCTTCTGCGTTAAATCATTCTCTGGAACATGTATCGTAGACCGAACTAAAAGATTTCATATTCACCGCGTGGCGTACAAGCATTCCCACAATTTGGTGCATCGGTCGGAAAGCCTGATGAGAGTTGGTTATCTTGGATAGCATGATAGCGAGAAGTATTGGAGCTGTTCATTATCACAGACTTGATAAGCTGAACGAAACCTTACATTAACGAACAGCTACTCCGAGATGCCAGTGTAGTTCATTCGTACAATAAGCTTCGCGGGAATCTGTGAGGCAGTTCCACTTTGTAGATGCTCTTTGAGGTGGTTCATGTTGTACTCGCATTAGAAGCGATACTAGCGTGTCACTACGTGGTGAGTTCAACTACACATTCTTCTGCTCAACTTAAAAGTGCCTGTTTTGCAGCCTCCAAAGCCGGAACAGGTTTTGTTTGCGAGGACGGGGTATCCAGCAGAATCCCGATCAAAGCGAGAACCATCGTGGGATTGGATACGGATCAAAGTAGATTACGATGCTTCAGTTGACCAGTAAGCTATCTATTGTTACGAAGCAGACCTAACCTCCCTGGACCTCGATGGATGTGATGTAGAACTACTTCAGTTTGCGAAGAAGCTAGAAGTAGGGACACAGCGTTGCTTATAAGACTAGCTTCGGTCGAGACCCTTGACCATCCAGCCACGGAATCGAGTCAATTGAGATGACTGAACATTACCTTTCGGTAATGACAGGACGCTCTGGAACCAGTCTATTGACTTTGTAGCAATCATCATCTGGTGAAGCAAGCAGGTTTTATGTACCCTTATCCACAATCAATAAGACTAACTGCGAAACAGTACTTTCCAATAACATTTGCCTCTTCAGTTCCGTATCAAGGTCTATGCCACCCCTTCCTATTGCCACTGCAAAGAAATTGTGTATCGCAGAAATGCGATGGATGATTAGGGCGCGCAATGTGTCATGTCAGACAGATTTGGGACGGCTGAATATCCATTCATGGCTTTTGTAAGGACTTAGTTTCCTTATAATATTTTCACTGATCAGTCACGAATCATGAAACGAAAAAAAAAACAGAAAACAATCAGAACTAACCAAAAAGTCAAAGTGGCATAAAAAAGGCCCCGTCAGTCATCGGGCAGGCCGTCCGTTTAAGGTTGCTGCAACTTGAAGTCGTGAAACGATCGAAAAAATTCGCTGCATGCGGCAAAGCGACGGTTGGAGTTTGAGTGAAAAGTTCCTCCACCTAGATCCTTACAGTCGCAAAAACTGCTGTCTTTGTATCTTTGTAAGCTTTCGCCACGCTCAACAATAACACATCGTTACCTTATGATTTATCCATATTAAAAAGAACACCAGCAACTTTTCAGCCAAGGTAAAAGTAAAGAAGTGAATGTGCCAAAGATGCATCAACTGTCACTCCATGTTCAACGTTCCCTCAAAGAAAATGTTTCAGTGTTCCCCTAAAAACGTGCAAGTGTATGCCTGTAATGTCGTACGAAAAGCGTTCAAACTTCTGAAAAGCTTCTGTCACGAATGTTTGAAAAAGTCGCAATCATCATAAGCATCTTTTCGAACAATCCTGTAGAAGGATAAAGAATGGGCTCCTCGCTGTATCCCAACTTTGGCGTTTTTTGGTTTTCTAAAGCAGAGAGGACTGCCTACAGCTATCTTGGGACTATTTCACCCTGTTTGTTTGCTGTTTGTGATCAACACATCTGGTATGTTCTGAAAGGCGTCGTTTTCTAAATGCTCTACGGAGCACAAATGACGGTAAGTCGTTTAAAGCCTCCAAATCGAGGAAGACTAGACAGGAGGGTCACCGAGTTTCTCACTGCCTTCAATCAGCTATCCGGTTTTGAAAAATACTTTTCAGCTCAACGAGGATCGAATTCGTAAGTTTTCTTCGTGCAAACATAGCTCTGCCCCCTTAATTACTCGGCTGCCCCTGCCTACCAGAGGGGACCAAACAAATGTACAGAAAAAGCACAGGAATTTTGCTTGACTGCGAAACCGGGCTGAATAGATGCGTTCACGAACGAAATTATCATACTAATGGAAATGGAACGTACTAATGGATCAGCAAAACTCAGTGGGCATCTCTAAAAGCGTATGGAAGCAGTTTCGATAATCACCGAAATTTTCTCTTGAATTTATAGGCTCAATGAAGAAAAAAGGGAGTTGTTAGAAGATCTCATCACTGCTGCTCGAAATTATTTCGAATCTACAATTAAAGTGCGACGACTCCAATATTTACAATTACTTCAGTGAGCGGATTTCGATACAGTTTGCTAGTGTTAGTGGACTCTCCCCATGTTTATAAGGGGGACTAGTGGCAACAAATGCGGATCCTTCATCGACAACGATGAGGCTACCGTGAGTTGTTTTTCTAAGTTTCGAGGCTGTGCAAGTTCTGATATCGTATTACGGTTCTCGCAACACATATGGCATCCATCCTCCAAGAAGAGAAAATCCCCAACCAGTGAAGGAACTCGCCATAGGTCATTCTACACAAGCAAGGAGACTGGGATGATCTTGCAACTACCGCCCATTAGGCTTGTAAAGTGCACTTTACAAGCTCTTCATGAAGACCATTCTAACCCGCATATCGTGAACGTTGGGTGAACCTCAACCTGAAGAGCAGGCAGATTCCGAAAGGGATTCAATTGCTTACACCACATCCAAGCGGTCACAATGGTCTCAGAGTATGACGAGAATTCCGAATGCCTCTTATTCTTACTTTTGTTGATTATGAGAAACCTTTTAACAGCGTCGATACGAGTGCGGTCCTGTCAGCACTGACCGATCAAGGAGTGGACTCTCTCTACATGAGAGCTCTAGCGCGCTGCAGTAGTCGCTGCAGCGCGACGGTGAAACTGTTCCAACGACCTCTCGCCATTCTCGTAAAGAAGGATGTGACAGAAGGCGGCACTATTTCGCTAGAGCTGTTCACGGCCGCGCCGCAGTGTGCTATGAAGTCGCTAGACTGGGACGAAAAGGGCATTCATGTGGATGGACGGTGCCTCCGCTCTGCTGATAACATCGTTCTCTTTTCAAGCAACGCTGTGAAAGATGGGGATATGCGTGCTGAGCTCGATGAAGCAGGAAAGAAGGTAGGGCTGCGGATCAGTCAAACAAAGACACAGTTCATAAAGAATGCTTGGGCTGACGAAGCTTAATCAAAGTCGACGGTACATCTATCAAAGTGACCTCATTTTACGTTTATCTCGGGCGTTCCACGAATATGGACAACGACATGAGGGAAAACTTTAGTCTCGGGAACAACTGGTGAGATGGCAGAAAGCCCGTGGGCAGCCTTTGGATCTCTGCCTGCGCTCTGTTATCGGTCGAAGACATGGCTGATCAGTGCATTTGCGTCAAGAGCTCTGAGCACAAGTCACAGAGGGATCGAGCGATGTCTTTCGAGGTCCAACAGGCCCACTCAATATCGAGCCAGGCTCTACGGCTTCGATATGCGCAGAATGCCTCGACTTCGCGATCCGGTGGAATACCTGAGGAACACAAATTCTCGGTAGGCCTATCATTATGACAAATGGACAGGAAGAACGGTTGAATGAGCTCCCGTAGGATTTTCACGTTTTAAGGGTAGGCATGCTGCGAGATGGGGGGACGTGCTTTTCGATCACGTGAACCGTCAAACGATTCTTCACATCGCCAACTTAATCGAATTCTGAGTCTACCGTGGATGGCAATCGCAAAAGACAAAAACGAAGGGTTTGTTGCTGGTGCTCGCACATGACTGAATACGAGCCATATAATTATAAATAAGTTTGTTTAGCAAGTAGCATCACAACGAAACCCTCCTATATTGATCAGGGAAATCAGTAGAATCGGATTGCGTATTCGTTCTGGACACGGCGGGACTGCTGTGAGATGTTGCTTAGGTCTCTCGGCTGTGCAAAATCTGATTTTGAATAAGGTATATGTTCTAGGATTCTAGGAATCGGATATTAGTTATAGACTTCGAAAAGACATAGCGCCTGCAAAACTGCCCACCCCCTCAGGCCTTCCTCTCAATCGCTAGACCATGTCGTACTGTCCCGGGTCATTGGAACTGTTCATCCCAATCCGAAAACGGCAGCAAGGCTAGTAATTCCAGCGTGAAAAAAAGACTTTTAGAATTCAGATTAAACCCAAATAGAGAGCGAAACTTACTTGAGCAAACCAAAACGTGCCTCAACCAACAGATCCTCTAAATAGAGAGTCTCTGAGTCAATGCCTTTCTTTCAGAGCATGCATAGGGAAAGACGGGAAAGTTGTCGAAGGAAAAACTTGCCCTGGACACTGTGTAAAAACCTGCGTTTATGCTAATCCACCGCAGAACGCTAGCTATTATGTGGTATGTTTGTCAGGAAATTCGGATTGAATGTCATCGACTAAAGGGGAGTGAATGCCCACCATTCTCGACAGATTCCTAAAATTTGCATCGTACTAAGGTTTTGGTGGCATATGGTTCTTCTATGAACAACTCAGCAAACTTCATAAGCAGAATCGCTAAGGTCAAAATAAGAGAAAGTCGAATAGATTGACATGATCTTATTTTATGCACAGAGGTGACACTCTCAAGAGGCAATGACCTCTCTTCCTGGACGAATTGATTTCACCCAAACCTCTCTTTTCTACGCAATTTCCTTTCCTTTTGTCTCTCTCATAGTGGCAAGTTCCCCGAAGGAGGGTAGCTCCAGAGCCAGGGCAAATCTACATAGTCTCATCGCCAGCCTCCGCTCGAGTTTGAAAAAAGCGAATAACTTCCAGGCTAGATGGATAGAAGAAGTTACAAAGCCCTCGTC